CTGGAGATACAACCTAAAATTCTATTTGCCCTACCACTAGCAACAGCACACTGCTTGGGTGGCTTTAGAGACTGATCAACTATTACACCAAGATCTCTTTTCTTCATAACACTACTAAGGTTATTCACATCCATATTATACTTATAATTCAAATTATGATAACCCACTTGCATTATCTTGCATTTGTTCTAATTAAAACCCATCTGCCATTTATTTGCCTAACTCACTGAATTATCTAAATCTCTTTGTAAATCAGCAGCAAAAACTGCACAGCTAGCAACCTCCAAGACCTTAAATCAAAAAGAGCAAAAGGCCTAAGACTGAGCCCTGAGGTACATCACTTGTGACATTAATCCAGTTTCACTGAACTCCATTTATAACAACCATCTGCTTTCTTCTGTCCAACAAGCTAATTTATCTCCCACACCTAAAGAGATCTTTTTCTCTTTTTTTTTTACAAGCCTTTTATGTGTCACCTTGTCAAAAGTCTGTTGTAATGAATGTGGTTGACTGCATATATTTTAAGGTTATAATGATATTCAAAGCCTAAAATATAACATTTCTAACTAAGACTACTATTTATATAATATCTTTTAACCCAGTTTCTATCCCTTTTTTGTTATCTTTGTTTTGGTCCAGTCTTTCCTGTGTTTTTATGAACTATCACTGAGTGTATCTTATGGTCTAAATGTTGCAAGCTTATCATTTTGTTTTATACAAATTATATATATAGCATACCTAGTTCAGGAGTGTTTTCAAATTACATGTATAGTAATTAGTTAATCACACATGGGATGTGTAAATGGAATACTAATTTAAACTAATGTAAGTGTAGTAGAGGAAATAATTTATTTTATGCACAAGTATGGGATATTGTAAAATAAACTTTCTGAATTGAACGAAGGAGTACTAAGTAACAGTTGCAAAATCAAAAAAGGCTTAAGAAATCCAAACAGTTGAAAAATGTATGTGTGTGTGTGTGTGTGTGTATATATATATATATATATATATATATATATATATATATAAAGTTAAGTAAATACATCATAAACCACTTTATTACAGGATAAAAAAGTTCATAATGACCAGTTGAAATTTAAAATAACATCACCTATGTACAACAAAGGACAGTTGTTTTGTGAAGCCTGTCCTTGCACACCCACTTTTGAGAAAAGTTGCACAGAGAAACCAAAGATCTTTATTCTATTGATCCCCTGAATAATTTTATAAACTTTAATAAAAATAATACTGCTTTTCTCAAGAAAACCTATCCCTTAATGATAACTTTTCGATCCCTGGAGTCATCCTAGTACCTTATCAGAACCCTTTACAATGAGTTAATATCTTTTCATAGATAAGGAGACCAAAGATGTGTAGTGTTTCGAGTGAGGCCTAACTAGAGAGATATCTATTTTTACTTGTAATCAGTATGTTTATGAGTACATTCTAAAATTGTGTTAGCTTTGCAACTAGCAACATACCACATACTGATGTCTTGAAAGACTTATCTACCACTAAGCCAATATCCTTTATTTCAGTCACAATATTGAGTGAGTTCTAATATATCATTAAATGTATGATGCAAGTTATGATAATTCAAGTGTATTTTATGCACTTACTGTATGTCATTTGCCAAATGTTTGTTCTGTTCACTAGGTGATTTGTCATTCTGTAATACTTTGAAATCCTCAAAACAGTTGGTTGTAACCAAGAGTTTAATGCATCAGCAAATACCAAACATTACTAATTTACTAATTATTCTCCCATAAATATCATTAACATAAATAAGAAAAAAACCTAAGCACACATCTGTGAGACACTCCACTAGTAACATGGGTTCAGTTTGACTGGTCTCCATTAATAATAATCTTGTGCACTCTCCCATTAAACGACACAACAATCCAATTAACTATTTCCACAGCTCATGCCAATGTGATTTTTGTAGCTAATGTTCTGAGTGATGTTATGAACAGCTTTTTTGAAAATCTATTTACACCAAGTTCACACATCACTCTTTCCATCATGCAATATATGTAGGAGCAAATGATATTGGAAGTTATAAATCAGAAAAGCTGCTTAATTCAAGATAGGCATGTTCCTTAAAAGAGGAAAAGAATAACAAGAGAGATCAAATCTAATTGGGATACTAAAGACATAAAGGAGAAAATCAGGAATAAATGCCACAAGGTTAAGAAGTGAAAATTGGCAGATAGGTTGGAAGATTTACAAAACTTTAGGAGGACCAGGGAATTGGTTAGAAAAATAAACTAGGGAATATTAAATTATTATGAGATAGTGCTAAAACTAATAGTAACAGTTTATTTAAATATATTAAAGGTAAACAAAATTTAGATTAGGATTGGGCCCTTAAAGGTTACTGATGGCAAGGTTTTTGTTCAAAATTACAAGATAGCCGAGTTATAAAATGTTTTTTTTTCATCTATTTTTACAAGAGTTGATAATACCAATATTCCTTACCCTAAGTATTTTATGGGAAATATTTATATTGATCTGAATCATGTGGGTATTAGTCCCTTGGGGTGAAAAAATAAAGCACTAGGATGTGAAAGTATTTTTTGCCTGTCAAAGATCATACTTGAGCTTTTCTCTTTCAATTTTAGTAGGTCAGTAGACATTGTAACAGTCTTGTTCAAACCTGTGTATGACTAGGTTGTTAACAATAGCTCTACTAGCTTAGTAACTATAACGAACGAGTAATCCCAGGAACTGTTTATTAACACATAAAGATGAACTACACAAGACAGTTCATATATATGATACAAGTGACATCCACATGGTGAGCAGTCAATCCTACCAGGTACTAGTAGATTAAAACCTACATGGTAATACCTGTAGTAGCAGTAGTAGTGAAAACTCCTATCTTAAGATGGCAGTTAAGTATTAATATACCACAGTTCAGCATATATCAGTTTTTTGTACAA